CGCCTGGTAAGTCGACTTGAAACTCTTTGGGCTTCGGTAGCTTGTGTTGGCTATCATGATGAAAGGAGACGGCTGTGGAGCGATTGAGCGACTCGCCCATGGACAGGACATCTTTCAGCTTTATGATGTTGTCATGAACCCACCGCAAGCTATGAGAGGCAACGCCACTGAAGATATCTTCGTCTTTATAACAGGTGCAGAGACTTTCAACAATAGGCGCAAAAGCAGTTTGAATGGCAGCCTCTTGGTTCAAGGTCAAGGTGGTAAGAAAAGCTTTTGCAACAAGCAGCAGTGTTTCTTCGAATTCAGACACGTCATTGTTCATTGACCTCTCATTGGCAGTGTTTGATTCAGCTTTCATGCGAATAACGTGCTCTGTCACTTGAGTGAAGAATGAAACAGCACGGCGTCCACCGGGCCCATAGATCACGTTATAAATGGTTCCCACTTGACGTTCGAGCGCAAGGGATGACAAAAGTCTGTCATTCGTGATAAGCTGAAGAAAGAGGATACCGTGAACCTGAAACATTAGACCAAGGACACTATATGACTTGGCAAACTCGGTCTCAACGATATGTCGAACAACAGCAAGTCCTTCTTCTGTCGCAAGACTTGTGATGAAATCCTGACGCTCATCTGAGCTTCGCTCGATCATGAACAGCCCCTTCTCAAGAATGTCTTTGACTTGCGGTGCTGAAAGCGGCTCCGGAGTCTGTGGAGGTAGAGTTCGGCTAGCTCTTTGAAGTCTAGAAATTGTAGAAGATCTAAGGCATTAGCAGAAAGACTTGAAGTGCAGCACTGTTATTCTCGTACCTGGTCTCGATCGGTGCGACAGGGAATGTTTGAGCATTTCCGCGCTGCACTCTTCTCACCATAAGTCTTGGTCCACGAGAAGGGTTTCCACGTGAAGGATTTCCATGTGGACGGTTTCCGTGGGGAGGTCTTGTGTCTTGATCATCGGTTCTCTGCATTTCAGGATCTTGATTCCGAGAGACTTGACGTCGACCGCGACGGGCTCTACTTGATCCCATGGCTCTTGGAGGGCCTAGCGGCGGTTGGCCAGTCCCAACCATGGCTCAAGAAGCTGGGGTGTCTTTTAAGTCTCTTGAATCTCTGAAAGAAAGAAGTTTAAGTCCAAGCTCAGATGATGTTGGTAGAAAGAAATTTGTGCGGGTTAACACGGGATGGATGAGGAGATCAAAATGAACAAACAAAAAAGGCGGTTGGTTTGGGCAAACAGAGGGACAAGCTTTTCGAGTTGTTATCAAAGAATTAGGCAGAAACAACATGGAATCTTCAACCTTTCTTCACGTGGGGTCACCTATGTTCAGTTTCTGACTTTATCTTGATCATATACATTAGGGCAGATTCACTGAGTATCTGCGCACGGACCGCTTTGATATACAAGAAGTGGGTCCAGGGCTGACAAGGCGGTGAGGCTGTCATGAATGGCAGTTACATACTGCAAAAACACCAAAGGTCAACTAACTATTTTCTCATGGCTGAGTAGGCTGTCAACGAATGCGTGTTACTAAGGTAAGAGAATAATGTCATAATTAGTGATAATTAGTGGGTCAAGTACTATAGCTCACTTGCGCAGAATATAAATGCAAAGAGTCTTCGTTTGCTGTCATCGGATATGATTTAACACTCAGGATGAGCTGAAACAACTTGGAAAACATGTAGGACTACCTGTTCGATATACCCAGATATGGCTAGGTATCAGGCTCAGTTGAATCGAGAAATCTGGCAGCTTGGCTTTGATGCAAAGACATGTAAAGCCAGCGATGAGGTGATCAGCAAAGTGGTCTCATTAAGCGTAGAATTATCTCAATAGCGACATGCGAGCCTGACAGGGCGAGAAGTGCTGCTTCATCAGATAAAAATACATTGCATTAAGCGTCAATGCTAGTTTGATGTGCAGTATAGTAGAGAAGATTCCAAGTCCTCTAGAGGCCAGTAAGCATTGAGTCAAGATTCAAAAGGGAGGCAGGCATCCATGGCACGACCTACAGCATTGATCACTTACATCGTAGGCATAGTCCTTCGTGTCTTTTTGTTTCTCCTTGGTTTCGACACTATGTGCATTTTGTACGAACTGAACAGGTTTGTCTTCGCAAATACTTCGAAATAATGTCTTGGGTGTGGCGGCCATAATCACATCAATGCGTACTGCTACCTGGACATAGGCAAACATGGCTGTATGCCTCTCAGCACGGCGGAAGATTCTGAACGACAAATCTATCCGTCTCATCCAATGTCTTATTGCCAGGATAGATGCAGCAGAGACGCATGTTCTTTGTTACACGAGCAAAGGCTCGACATGTCGCAACTATGCTCACGTACAGCACGTTTCATCGAGTCTCAAATCTGTCGATGGTCAAACATTTTTCGAACTGTGCATATTCCGATTATAGTGTAACGAGGTCTTCAGTTGCAAGTTGGAGCAATTGGAGATTGTTTGGGCGACAAAAATTTTAACTGTCGATCTACTCGGGTTGAAACACCGAATCTTAAACCCAAAATATGGAACCCGTGGGGTGCAGGGGAAGTGGCCCGGCCAGGCTCGTCGATCATCATAAACATAGATTCGAACAAACTATTTTAGAAGTCGAATGAGGTGAGATCTGAGTTGGTGATCCAGTGGCTTCTCGAAACCTACTTATGCGTTAAACATCTGTTTTGGGTATGCGAATTATATTCAGGAACATAGGTTCGGTGGTTTGGCGTCTGCGTTCGTAGCATCCGCAGCAAAGCTTATCTCTGTTCCGGCCCCGTTGAGATTCAAACCGGGTTCACTAAGCTTGTTTCATAATATGGCTACATTGCCTCAATTCGGACGGGCGTTTGAACATTTGCAGGATAAATTATGAGAAAATAAAACTTCCTCCCTATGTAGGAGACGTGGGAAGCTGGCGCCGGAAATCGTGTGTAGTATAGACAATTTGCGTCGGAGAGGTGGGTTCGTAAGACTCTCTAGGTGCATGAACAAAATCTGGGCTCTTACGGAATTCAAAAAGAATTATCATACCGTCTGGAAGGTACGTAATACTTGGGGCTGCCAGAAGAAGTGCTAAATAATGCCCAATAGAACAATTCGTCTATAGCTAGGCTGGACCCGAACGTCCTATTTGCACAAATTATCAAAGCGACAAGAATGGAAAGCAGGGGCCTAGAGTGCAGATGTGCACATGACACCTCTGAGGTGCTTCCATAGCTCAGCAAGTGGTCGAGTCTCATTCCGAAGCTCCATAGAGCTTTGCTGCCATGCATTTGCCGTTGGTAAGATAAATTGACTCATGTGCCCATATGTCACGTCATGCTCGCCACCTGATTTAAGGAATGCATTGGCTGCATCGAAATAAGCAAGTATTGGTCACCCCGTCAAGCATGCCCACTCATGCTCTGATGCAGAAAAGGAGTTGTATTTCCTTTCAGGGATCCAAAGCAAACATATGCGTCCCAAGCATCAATCTGTGTAACATGGAATTGTACATGAGGCAAGGTAAGACAAGAACAACGTCTGCATACGAACACCTTGTACAGAAGAGTGTGATAATTCTGAGTCTTTGCACATATTAGCGAGGCGTGGTTCGGAGGTACGAAGAGTAGACAGTACATAGACGGAGGGTCTAAGCTACGGAGAATCCCTAGTCTATTTTGGACCCGTGCGGGGTTTTTGATACCTGGAGCTAAAGTAAGTAGGCAAGCATTTCATCTCCATATTCTAAGCCAAGCGAAATGGGCAGAACACCACAGAAACTCACAGGAACAGACACTGCATCCAGTTTCGCCTGCCCAGTGGCGAACTCGGACCTTCATTGCTTTCGGACCTGCAGATCTCCTCGGTCTTCTTTTCCACCCTTCTGGCGCCCTCTTTTCGCTCAGGAGTATAATGGGCCTTTTGACCGCAATAATCAGGCCAAAGCAAAGAGATCCATGATGTTTGGGGGGGGGGGGGGGGGGGGGGGGGGAATTTGTGCAGTCTCCATCCGTGGGTCGGCCGTACTGCCGAATTGAGAGAAAGAAGCGGAAGATCCCTGGTTAAATCCACCCAACGGAAAGCCCCGAATTTGAGCCATGGAAGGTGCGGGGTAACTTTAGTCCTGCACCTGGAATCTATTCCTCATACGGAGCACCTCACTTTACTTACACTCACCATCATTCCTGGCAGTGATGATGGTGTCTTACTCTTCTTCCCTGGATCGACTCCTCAACCCAACCCACTCTCAGACCCTGAGGGAAATTTCTGCGCCATGCACCACCGTATCACTCGCTCCGTCTTTAGGTCGGCCCGCTTAGCCAATGCAACACAAATAAACAAATGAGAATCCGGGGGTGGGTCCCCGGCTGGGTCAACACTGGTGGCCGCTAATTGTTGGTTCGTCCACCATTGAACTCAAATCAATTGCTGCTCACAATTTGAATGCTACCCACTCCGAAGTAGCTGAGGTCTACTCCAGCCTTCCAACAGTACGCCGCACGCTATTCTCTATTCCCAATAATTCCTAGTTGTCTAACCTCCGAATACAGATCGCCGCTGCCGCCATCTTCTGCCAGCCGGACACCCTGGAAAGAGGCAATCAAGATTGTAGCCACTTCGCAGAGCGGGAAATGAGCCCGTCATCAAATCGTTGGTCCAGAACGACCATCACACTGACGATCCTGCCTAGCTTTCCCAGGCACCACCCCCTCTTCGTCCTAAATTGGGCTCAATTATGGAGGAGAGCCTTGGTCCTGGCAATGACACGATCCATCGGAGCAGCAAAACCTTCCCCTGGTCCAAAATTGGCCTCGGCCCCCGTGCCGTGGTGCACATGTGAGGATGTACATCGGACTTCTCTCTATATATAGAGGGCTACACTTGCAGCTTCCATGACCACCAGCATCGATACATTCTTTAGATCGCCTGCCTCCTACAGCAATCGGACTTGAGCATTCGTTTAGCCTACACAGTCTAGTATCTGTTACTCTAATCCACCGTCGTTCTCATCGTCAAAATGAAGTTCACCAGTGTTCTCTTCACTCTGGGCCTGGCCACCAGTGTTTTGGCCAACCCTACCAAGGTCGTCCGTGAGCCCAGCCTCGTTGAGCGTGATGTCGCCGCAGTGACCAGCGTTCTTGCCGACATCGAGACCAAGGTCAAGGCCCTTGATTCTGCCATCAACAGCTACAGCGGTGGAGACCCCTCCAAGGTCGAGTCTGCCTCGACCGACTTGGTCTCAACTATCAACTCGGGTACCACCACTGTTAACGGCGGCGACGATCTTAGCTCCACCGATGCTCTCGAGATCCCTGGTCCTGTCCAGGACCTGACCAAGGACGTTCAGACTGCGGTCAACGACCTGATCTCGAAGAAGGACCAGTTCGTCTCGGCTGGTGCTGGTGCCACTGTCTACCAGCAGCTCCAGAAGCAGTACACTGCTGCCAAGAGCCTGGCCGACGCTCTCACTTCCAAGGTTCCCGAGTCCCTCTCTAGCCTTGCCAGTTCTCTGTCTGCTGGCATCACCGATGCCATCCAGAAGGGTGTCGATGAGTACAAGGATGTTGCTACTAGCTCTGGCACCGCTTCCAGCGCTACTTCCGCTGCCTCGTCCGCCAGTGACAAGACCGCCACCAGCGCTGCTTCTTCCGCCACTGAGAAGAGCGAGACCACCGCTGCCGCTGCAACCACGGGCGATTCCGCTACCACTGGTGCTCAAACCTCGTCTCCCGTGATCCCCACCTCCGCCAGCGCCTCTGTTACCCCCTCCAGCTCCAGCACCCCCTCTGCTTCCGCCAGCTCCACCCTCTTCACTGGGGCTGCCAACTCTGACCGCTTCAGCTACGTCTTCGGTGGTGCTGCTGCCGCTGCTGCCGCTGTTGCTGTTGCCTTGTAAGACAGACAGCCGAAGATGGCTTGAGCCTGCAATGGATAAACGATTGTGAAGGACCAAGTGCAACGGTATTCGACAAGTGCGATCATGAAAAGATACGGGCTGGCCATGTATATCTATTCGCCGTTGATTGATTTCAGCCCGGGACTGTGGCTTAATGTCTTTGGTTTTTGGTTTGGTTTGGTTTGTTGGATATTTAATTGGTTGACAATGTAATATGGTCTCGGTACAACGAAAACACAATGAATTGTTTGAACAAAAAAACATCAGCGCCTAGATTATTTCCCAAACAGCGTAGCATATGCCCTTGTGGATCCTCTCAATGGTTACCCAAATAGCGGATGATCAGATTTTGCTGCCCAGCAGCCCAGAAAAAGCAACCTTGATGACCGGAGTATCCACAGTACCTTCGCCAAAGGTCAACCCCTGTATGGTTGCCTCTCACCCGAAGCAGCAAGTTACACTACGATCAACAGCGAAATGTAACTCGAAAGCGCGGATCACCGTTCCATTCCATCCCATCCCTTCACTACCTCGTGCATGCTCGGCTACCAGACGCGGGAAGTCTAAGGCGCACCACCGTAGACCGACCGCGGCAGGAAGCTTTCTGCTTCGCTTGCTCCCGCGCATTGTACTGTACTCGTTAGCTACAGTATCTCCGAGGGAAAGTCAAAAGAGGGTCCGTGCTAAAGTAAACAACAATGGCGTGAGGTACCAGAGCTAAGTAGGTATGCAACTAGCTACCTACTCCATAGAATCTCCGGCCAGAACCACTTTCTTACGGATTAGGCGCCCTATACAAACAAAGCTTTACATTTACAGATCTAGTCAGAGGATTACAAGGAATGTAGGACACCGACTTTCATGCAACCACATTGGGCAAACTCCCGAGGGGAGTCGCAAGTAGCAGCATGCTTGATTGATGCCCGCATGGATCTTGGTACTTTCTTAAAGGCAGACAGCAAGGACACTCGCCTCCTCGGGGTTGTGGTAACAAAACCCGCGAGGGGGGGGTTGGTTGTCGGTGCTGAGAGGTAAATACCACTACCGAGTACCGTGGAGATTTTGCTCAGGGGTTGAGATGCTGCCTACATTATGGCAGGATGGATTTTGTCTCTCTTTCTGAGGATGATGGGAGGAGGAGGAGGAGAGAGGAAGAAGGGATCCGGGGAGGAGAGAGTGATCGGGCCATTTAATATGGTGGCTGGCAGCCTAGATGGTAAGAACTAGGCACTTTTTGGGAATAGTGTGAGGGGAAAGAGTGAGCGCAGGGAGTCATCCTTGGCGTGATCGGTTGTTTTTATTGCTTGTGTGACAACTTGGAAGGTCATCGATGGTTCCAGAAAGGTCATTCTGCTCTAGAGACATTTTGTTGTTCACATGTCCCAGCCGATGAATTGGGCTGCTGTTGCTGCTGCTGCTGCTGCTGCTGCTACGCCAGCGTCGTCCCCTCGACAGCCCCAGCATACCGCGGACTCGTCGCGGAGAAGAACATATTCCCTGCAACCGCCACCACCATCGCTCGCGCGTAGACCATCTGCGCCTCTGACAGCACACCCGACTTTTCCAGACGCAGACACTCTGCGCTCATCCTATTTTCTACATCTCGAATCATTACTCTCAATACCCTTGCAGCTAGAGCATCATCAATATCATCGCCGCCCATGAGCCCACGCACTACACTGACAGCATTAAGCACCACTTCCCCGGTCTCCGCTTCCGCCCGGGCCTCCTTCGCGTACGAATACAGATCATTCGTGAGCATCAAATGCTTCGCGCACAGCGCTTTCAAACGCTCTAACTCCGGAGCATCCTCGACCGCAGTCCCGCACGAGAACCGGACAGTCTGAAGGATCAAGTCGGCCCCGAAATCCTCCAACCCATGCACGAGATACTCCTCTAGCGACCCAAACGTCTTCGGTCGCTCGCGCTGCGTAGCTGATCCCCAGGATATAATCTCTTCGAGCAATCGCTCTCCCTCGTGAGGGTCCTCCGTTAGTATCTCCTTGACTAGGATATTATAAGCATCATGCTCTGCTGTAGAGCTCTGGTTGTGCGAGACTGCGCTGCGAGGAGGTATACGAAGAGCAGGGTTCTGGGTGCCGACTGCATCGTCATGGAGGAAGAGGAGGGCGTATGTTTTGGCTAGGAGTTGTATTCTGGTGATGTTGCTCAGGGGGACGAGATGGATAGTGTAAGATACCGCCGTGTCGATGAATTTCTTTGTGCGAGCGGGATCGAGGGTTGGATGGGTCGGGTGGGAGGTGCTGATGGCTTGCAGGTATGTAGTTGCTGCTGCTTCGGCTTGACGCCAGTGTTTGGACTGCAGAGCGATAGGGAGAGCGGTTGGCCATGGGACGCGGTGGGAGGGTGGGTGGATGGTGCTCGCATGATGGCAGTCCTCGAAGATCTCCGGTCGAATGATTGAGAATGGAGTTGAGGATTGAGTTGGTGGTTTGGAGTTGGCTGGGTCAAAGGCGTGCGAGGTTGGACGGAGTGCTTCTGACGGGGGCGCGGTGTCTGGGCTCTTTTCGAGTGGCGTTTGTGTGTGGAGTTGTCTTCGAGGCTGTGCGATGTAGACGCTTATTTGGGTGCTGGTTGCGCGATGCTGCAGTATTTGAGGCGATTGGGCGCAGAGCAGTTCTCTCGTTGCCCAAGCAAGTGCACGTCTCGGTCTGTTGGCATGTCGCGTCAAGCCTCGGGGGAGACGACGCGTCGCCATTGCGCGCTCTTGAGTATTCTTTGGGGCTCAAAAAAGCGTGGATTCTGCCCAGAGATGTTGTATGTTCAAAGAACAGTAAACGCAAAAGATAAGACAACTTTAAATTCAGGAATAATCATACTACAAAGCTGCTACCAGAAGCGATGACTGCGGAGCCGAAACCATGATGTCAGCTGGCAGCTAGCGGAGTTCCTTTCGCTTGTCCCCACCCACTTCGGAGTTCCGCGTAGTCACCACAACACTCACTAACCAGTTCTACACAACATCAGCATGGCAAGCCCAAGTTCCTCCCAGTCAAGTAGACGACGACAGCCACCTCCTCCACGGAAGAAAGCCTGCCAAAGTTGCACCAGGTCCAAAGTTCGGTGCAGTCTCGAAAGACCTACCTGCTCTCGATGCAAGTCTCTCGGTCGCGTATGCGAATACTACACTGCCCCTGAATCCTCACACACTAGTCCTCAGACCGAAGACTTGGAGAATCCGGGCTTGAGGGGTCTCGCTGAGCTCCAGCCCTCTACATCGTCTGCTATGCCCATAGCTTTACCATCCTATCTTGACAGCAGCCCCGGACGCGTTACGCCGATTCGAGAACGCAGGCATCGACAGGTGGGGTCAGCGAGAGATGAGCGACCGCATGTCGACTTCACCAAAATCGACTTAGTCCCTGCTTCAGGGGCAGAGAGTATTCGAGATCGCTGGCTTCGGCCATATATCCTCCCACCGCTGGGGCGAGACGAGGTTCCGAAGGTTTATCATCCGTTTACACTGCAGTACATCTCGAGGGTTCTGGCCACCTATCCCCGGTTCATGCTGAAGGACCGCAAAGCGCCTCCTATCATTCATCACTCACAAGTCTCCGGTGAGAACCTGCCACAGGCCTTGGCCAATTGCTACAGTCTCGTTCGAATGTGGGAGAACGCTGTTTCAGGAAGTGAAGCCATGGTCATCAACATGATCGAAATGGAGATGGAGAGGTTGTCCAACGAGGTATGCCGACTCAGCTCTGCTCGTACATACGGAAAATAATAAAATCATGATCGCAGCTTCCAAGCCAACACGACTACAATCTTCTATCTACTTTTCAAGCCTACCTAATCTACTCCGTCATGTTATATTTCTCCCCGCGACTCGCTGCCCCGGCCGCTGTCACCGACAAAGTCATGATCACACTCATGGAACTGGCCTTTCGCACGGCTCGCAACGGCTTCTTCTGTGTGGCCGAATTATCCCACTCGCGGCCTAGTTGGGAGTCGTGGATTGTGGTGGCCTCGAAACGCCGCGCCATCTTCGCCATGTACCTCTTCTGCAGCGTTTACAACTCCGACCGACTCTTGCCAAACTTCATAGCCGATGAAGTAAGGGGTGTTTTTGCTCCAGAAGGAAGATCGTTGTGGGAGGCGCCCGACCGGGAGACGTGGGAACGGGAGTATGACCGTCATTTGTTGACCTGGGAGGATGGGATGCTGGAAATCTCAGAGCTGTGGCGATCCGCGGATACGGGAACAGTCGAGCAGAGAGAAAGGATCGAGAGGTGGCTGCAGACTGTGGATGAGTTTGGGATGTTACTGTTCGGAGTCACAGCGCACATTCATGGGTGTTGATCTAGTCAGTGCACATCAACCGCTCACAGCCATTCCCCCGCCCCTATCTCGGAACTCCGAGAATGACCCACCTTACTGATCAACCACGACTGGGCACCTATATATTGCCATCATAACCATTCTGAAATCAGCCTACACGCATTTCCTGAACCATTGACTCAAGCTACGAAGCGCACGCCTATCCTCAAGGATGACATCCACCTACTCAACAAACCACACTCCCAGCGTCCTCCGCACGCACAACTGGCGCACCCTCGCCAACTCCGCACCATACCTCCTCCCCCACCTCAATCACCTCCAATCCACCACCTCCAACCTCAAAATCCTGGACATCGGCTGCGGACCAGGCAGCATAACCATTGACTTAGCCCGCCATCATCCAACCGCCCAGGTTACAGGTCTGGACTCCTTCGCCGACCCGCTCCCCACCGCGCGGCGCCTCGCCGCCGCCGAAGGCCTAGCCAACGTCACCTTCGACGTCGGCGACATCCACGCCCTGGACTTTCCCGACAACACCTTCGACCTCGTTCACGTCCACCAGGTCCTGCAGCACATCGCCGACCCCGTCCAGGCTCTCCGCGAGATGCGCCGCGTCGCCAAACCCAACGGCGGGATCGTTGCCGCCCGGGAATCCAGCATCCACACCTGGCACCCGGCGAACCGCGGGATCGAGCTCTGGGACCGTCTGACCCGGGAGCTGGCGCAGCGGAGCGGCGGGAACCCGCACCCCGGGGCGAGGATTCACGTGTGGGCGGAGGAGGCGGGCTTCGCGCAGACGCAGATCCATAAAAGCACGGGCAGCTGGTGTTTCAGTTCGGCGGAGGAGCGCGAGTATTGGGGCGGCTCCATGGCGGAGAGGGCGCGCAACTCGGGGTTTGCGGATCGGGCGGTGGGGAGTGGACTGGCAACGAGGGAGGAGCTGGAGGTGGTGGTGGACGGGTGGCGGGAGTTTGTGGCGTGTGAGCAGGGGTGGTATGGGATGTTGCATGGGGAGATTGTTTGTTTCAAGTGATTCTATTGTATGTTGCTGACCTATGCCTCTTCGTTGGAATCCGATGGATGGGTGGAAGAGAGTATATGCCACTTGCATTGAGAATTCTCAGCTCTCCGTCTAACATGTAAAATCAAGTGCAATACATCGCTATACACTAGATGCATATACAATGTAGTCACGCCCATAAACTTGACCGAGACCCAATCCAACAGCATACTATGTACGCATCATCATCCTTCATACAGCGACAGCCAGTACAATCAATACAACCAGGAAGAACAAAAGAATAAAACAACTAAATAGCAATAAGGAGCCTCGGCTTTTGACTGTTCATACCAAGAACAACCCAGCCTCCAAATCCCATGCGCGCAAATCCGATATCATCCGCCTGTATCAGTACCGCTACGGTGCCTCAGGCATATATCGGTAAGAACTTATCTCAGTAAGTTGCCTCGTCTCTCACACGGTAGCCGGGGGTTCGATTCCACCTATCGGAGGTATATATATATACATATATAAACTAACCCCGTAGGCTATATATATTTTTGCTTTTTTTTTTGTCGTTTTCGGAATATCCACAGCGCCTTTTGGCGGATCTCTCTTATGGCCAGCTGATACTGTACTTCCATATGAGTGCATATCAATGGCGTTGAAAAGCTCAGGATTGATAACCCAGTAGAGGATGAAGGTTGCTCGACCTGGAAGGTGCGATGGTTAGTATCTAGTTCTTCTTTCCGGAATGGGAAATATGGCACTATACTGAACCCGTGACCCGCGACTTCAGTTCGACGCTCTCTATCATGACAGAAAGATCGGAATATGACCTGCAGAAGGCGATGGATAGGAATTTGGAGGCCAATAAGCTCAGATTCAGACGTAGATGGTAATAACGAATGCACGAAGTCGAGTTGTCGCCAGAGTAGATGATCATATACGAAAGTGCGGTTGCGATAAGGCCTTCCCGACGGAGGTATGCGCCAAGAAATCCCCGACAACAGCAGGATGATTCCCTTCTCAGATACCGACCCCATCTACTCACAGGTCAGATCGATCACCGGGATCAAGTCCCAGATCAACTAATAACCTTAACGCAACACGCCCCAGTGCGCCAATGAAACTCTGGACGAAGCGGATGACCACATTGCTGCATCACCGCCTCTGATTCGATGTGACATCACCATTTGGCTCCGTCATCGCCGCAGATACCAATTCTAAATTCCTACTTATTGCAGCCCACAGCGTAGGATTACCTGGGCTTGAATCAATGCTTTTTTCGCTTGGATTATTTCCAAACGCACATAATTCCCATCCAAAATGCAGACCATTAAGAACACAATCGCCGAGAACTTCGGTGGGCCGTCGCATGAGCTCGCCGAGCACAAGTTCAGTTTGGAGGAGGTTCCCGATCTGAGTGATAAGGTAGCGGTGGTGACGGGCGGCAGTGAAGGTACGATCAACTCAATGAGCATGCGCTTGAAGAAAGTAGCCAGATACTAACCCAGATGGCTAGGCATCGGCTTCGGCTGCACCCACACCCTGCTATCGAAGAACATCGCGAAGCTGTTCGTCACATCGCTCCGCAAGGAGGTCGCGGACGAAGCGCTCGCGGCCATCGAGGAGGAGTTCGGGCCGGAGAAGCGCCAGCGCTTCATCTGGCTGCAGTGCGACCTGTCGGACTGGGAGCAGACGGCGCACGTGGCGGGGGAGATCGCGTCGCAGACGGAGCGGATCGACATCCTGATCAACAACGCGGCGCGGGGGATCATGAGCCGGCAGCTGGCGCCGACCAACGGAATCGACCAGCACATGGCGACGAACCACATGGGCCACGTCGTGCTGACCTCGCACCTGCTGCCGACGCTGAAGAAGACGGCCGACGCCGGCCACCCGGTCCGCATCGTCAACCTCTCCTCCAACGTGCACAGCAGCGCGCCCGCCGACACCGAGTTCGCCTCCGTCGAGGAGCTGAACCGCGAGTACGACCCCAACGCCCTGTACGGCCGCAGCAAGCTGGCCAACCTCCTGCACGCCAAGTGGCTGCACCAGCACCTCCAGTCCACGCATCCCAATATCATCGTCAACGCGACGCACCCGGGCGTCGTGGACACCGCGCAGACCAACGTCCACATCCACGACGCGTTCCCGCTGCTGGGCTACGGCATGTCGGTCGGGCTGAAGCCCTTCCGCAAGACGCAGTTCCAGGGCGCCGTGTCCACCATGTACGCCGCCACCGTCGCGACGGAGGGCGGGCAGTTCATCTGTCCGCCGTGCATCGTGGAGAAGGGCAGCGACAAGGCGAACGATATGCAGCTGGCTGATCGATTGATGAAGCTGACGGCGGAGGTTGTCGAGAAGAAAACGCGCTCGGAGAGCAGTGCCAAGGGGTGTCCTTTCAAGGAGGATTAATTGTAAGATAATTGTAACGCGTGACGCAGTTGGAATGGCTTTTTAGCATATGAAATTGAGTAATGACCTACCCGTTGGTGGCGGAGTAGTTATTTAGCTGTGAAAGGGAGGCTATGTATCCCTTTTTGAGATATATGCTGCATCCTTGTAAGTGAATGGGTATGGGATGGGTGTCGATCAGGAGCTTCTGTAGTGCAGTGCACCAAAGTCCACATGATCGTCGCCCTCGCTTCGAACCGTCGTCAAAGAAGAAGTCTTTTGGCAGTTCGGTGTAGCTCAAAATGAAGTCTTCTGAGCAGGTGAGAAGCTGACTAAACAAGTGTGTCGACCATTGAGCTTCTTCTTAGTGCCATGCATTGTTCGTAGACCCTCGGACTGGGGTCAAGGTAGACACGAAACTGACGTCCTTAGTTGACAGTGACATGATTAGACGACAGCAGTGAATTGTCAAGGTACAATAGAGAAATATCCAGTCGTGGGAGAAGTGTTTTTGTGTTGCAGTTTGATAGTTTGCGGTCAGCAGCCGGAGATAGATAGTGTAGGCAGTCAGTCTACAGCACCAACTCAAAACAAAAACAACAATCACGAGTTCGAGCTTGAAGGTAGAAATTCTGCTGGTCAACTTCTGCAGACGAAACCCACAATGATAACAGTAGACATACCGACCACCATCGAAGCACTTGCAGCTCACTGTTCAACGAGTAGGGAACAATCTCGGAAGTGCATTGGTTATAGATAAGGCCGCATTTCTGGATCGGCACGAGGCCCCGTAGATCTTTTTTGGTGCAGAACCTGCGGAATGCAAGGTACTGATTTCCGTCCGCCCTGAAGAAACTCCCTACTACGATTGGCATCTGAAAGACAAGTGTCGCATGCCACAGGACGTCACAAGCAGGAAAGATTGCCGTACCTACCAATAAGTGTGCATGAGTGTAAGGATAAGCGTCAACCATCTGAAACTTTATATTTGAGTTACGCGGTATAATCATTAGAAAGTCAAGCTACTACTGAAAGAGAACCAAAAGGGAATTCGCCATACGTAGCTGAGGTGGCACATGGTGTTCTCGACCCCCCCCCCCTCCCGAACCAAGTGATTACTCCCTAGACCGAGCCAGCACCGTAACCGGGGACCAATTGTAAATGATCTTCTCCTTCTGCTGTGTTGCAAGACACTGGAGAGCGACCTCTTGCTCGGACACTGACAACAGAATGTCCCCGGACAGTCCTCTTTTGATGCCCTGCGTCAACTCGCGTAGAGCTAGAATGTAGGTCCGGGTGCACAGGTCCACCAGAGGGGGGGCGAACCGGCCGTGGTCGGACTCGATGATCTCCAAGTCCTCTTTGCGCATGCGATCAGGGAGCTCGGAGACCCATCTATAAAGTCATGTCAACATATACAGGCGGTGATTCCGGTAGGAGGACGCACATGTATTGGCGGTTGACCCGCCGAAACAAGTCGCTCATCCGCGCAGCGGTCTCTTCCGCCACGCGACCTTCCGTGACCTGGTTGTGCAGGTCCGCATCTTCCCACTGGATGTAGCCCCCTGGTTCTGTGCGTGGCGTGTATTAGCATGCAACGACGATGATGTGGAGTCAGTAGTGGGCCGTTTGAGCTTACTTAGGAGTTGCTTGGCTTGACGGATCAAGGTAGCTGTCTCACTTTCGCGCACATTGCTCGCCCACATCCGCAGATGCACCACATCATATTGTCCCGTCAGAGAGGGGGGTAGATCAGACATCAGGTCCACCACGCTGAGCGTCATGTTCTTCGCCCACAGTCCAGAGGGTGGGTATTGTTGGCCGCTACTGTCAAAGCCATGTAGTTGCACGGTTGACGGCAGCTGTCTTGACAGGTCAAGGAGCCAGATTCTATGCATATTGTGAGCGGGGGGTTCAGGTCGAGCAATTCGCCATATCACAAACCCTGTGCCGCAACCAAGGTCGGCAATCTTCATGTCATTGCTGACTGGGATTTCAGGATGTAGCTCGTATCCCTTGTGAAATTTCCACAGAAGATGCTGAGCATCCAATCTGTAGTAAAATCAGCACCTATCATGTCTGTGTAACCTTCATCGCAGGAGCATTATAAGTAGGGAGAGATCAAAGACATTACCTAACGGAGTCCGTGATGCTTCTTCCGAGGATATAGTCGTCCGCTGGAATCATCGCACTTCCCATTGTCACTTGAGTTGATCTGATAAGGTGTGTAGACGAGTAAAATATTGTAAGTATCAAGATTTGTACTTGATGTTCCAGGTTCTAGGCCAGGTTCGTCAGGACTTTTATAGTTCCTTCTCGGTGATTTAGGTTTGAGGATTATCCGCGTCGGAAATTCGCCTGCGAACTGTTTGGCTGCCAATCAACCGATACGGAATTAAATGAGGTCATGAATTACCCGGTCTGTAAGGTCTTACTATTTGTGATACTGACAAAGCATGAAGTCGAATACATCGAGCATCTTTTTCAGCGGCTTCAAGGATTTTTTGACCTGGGAGGGAATCATTATTGGTACTCGGGGAGCAGGAATGAGATCGATCGTGTGTAAGTATATAGAGCGAATAGAAAAGACGCGAAAAGGCCGAAGAAGCAATAGTAGATCTTGCAGATGAGATCCCCGTATTTGATGACGTCTTCGGCTTGCGATGGAGTCACTCTTCTCTCTGCTGACAGCGAGTGCCGCTACTCGCACATTCCGACTTCGGGATCCTGGCGTGTTCGTATAAAGTCACTCTTGACAGTGTAGCCGTTTTCGCAGTAATAGTTCGAGCATAAGCCACTTTTTGGTTCTCCCGCTGCTGCCCAGGTCTGATCATGCTTGTATGAATGGTCATGGGCGAAACCACCTTAGTCCGAAAGGCAATCGATTAGGCAACTGAGGCGTCGTCCGTGAACTGTTGCTAGTAAGTTCAACTACGGCGATGGCCACACACACTCGCTGCTAACTATTGCTTAGGCACTCGGGTGTGTAATCCTGTACTCGGCCAACCTCTCACGAGGGCAAGAAAGTACGTGAAAATCCTCCAGATGAGCTCACATACGGATGTCTCAGAGTTGGATTGTTAGTCGCAGCTCGGGGTTATTCTGCTCAATGTCCTGGTACGTTGCTCTTGCATCACTTGCAAATACGTAAGAGGTTGGCGCGACTCGACAATCCAGACCTTGCAATGTTCAAAAGTCCCATGGCCATGGCTCTGCGTTACACAGAGATTGGCTTGGCCACAGTCGAGGTTACACATCATCTTGCATGCTAACCTGAATCTGCAGGAGAACATGATATCTGATCGGCGAGTCCGATGCTGCTGCAGAACAAGTATAGCTAGCTTGGGATGATGCAATGAAAACAATATATGAGAGGCGGCGAATGATACTAGTGATCGGCCGTACTTTGCTTTTTCTCATATCAGTTATGTTGACCAATCATCGCCGCGACCACGGCCAATGCAATGTGATATCAGACCGAATTAGCCACTCTGCGTTGTGAGTATGTCGATCTCTGCATTCCTCAGCTGAGCCCAATGAACCACAGAGCTCATTCATCGAACAGGGTCTCTTGAATAGAGTGATTGTGGGGACGGATTGCTCATGAAAGCTATAAATCTCGTCCAGTTGTGAGTAACAAGGAGTCTATGATGGTGCAAACATCTCCCGCACAATACTGACCTAAATTGAGAGCTTTGGTACCGATTACCAAAACCACTTGTCTCTTTTCCTCCTGAACAGTGTCTTCGCCCATACCAGAGAACATGAGCTTCAGTCGCACTACCATAAGTCTAATCCCGGGGAAGCCCGACGCTCTCGAAAGAGTGGTTGAAATATTGCGAGCCCACAAGAGTGACGACTATTATGCGTATGAGCGAGAGGGAAAATGGTACCTGGGCATCGGCAGTCACTCTTCACTCGTAGTTGACCCCAAAGGGGAGACGGCGACAATCTCCACCGATTCTCACAAAGAATCGCACCCGATCACCGGTCCGCTGGCGGATGTCGCAAGAGACTTTGTGTCGAAGCACGCCAACGACGCCCGCAGGGTATTCGGGTATGTTGGGTTCAACTACGCGGCACATGCGCGCGGCGTTCCGTACACGGCCGGTCGATGGCCGCTTGTGAGCTTGATGGCCCCGCGCATCGAGATATCGTTCTCACGAGACAAGGCTGTTCTGACGGGGGATAACAATGAGGAAGTGAAGGCACTGGCCGACCTTATCGATGGTGCCACCAGTGTGGATCCGACACCGAATCAAAGTATCGACACGCAAGACGCTGCGAGAGAATATCTGGCTCGAGTCGAGAACGCGCTGGCGGAGATCGCGGAAGGGAAGTATACGAAGGTTATCCCTTCACGAGCGGTGGAGATCGCCGGGCGAGTGGACATGCCGGCCACCCTGCTGTGTGGTCGACGCTGCAATGCACCCGCACGGAGCTTTTCCCTGAGCCACGAGGGCTACCAAGCGACCGGCTTCAGTCCCGAGCTCGTGATGTCAGTGAAAGAGGGGAAGGTGACCACTGAGCCGCTGGCTGGAACGCGATCGCGCAAGGGTAAAGACACCGAGGTCGAGCGCCTCAGACAGGAACTGCTGAATGACCCCAAGGAGATCGTTGAACATGTAATCTCAGTTCGGGAAGCGATCGACGAGCTGAAGCGGCTCTGTCCAGAGGACACAGTCAGTGTTGAGGACCTGATGTCAGTCCGACCTCGGGGCAGTGTCCAGCATCTCGGGTCTACCGTGACTGGCTTCCTGAAGCCGGAGAACGACCCCTGGGACGCCCTCAACGTCCTCTTTCCTTCTATCACGGCATCTGGCATACCGAAGCAGGCCGCACTGGAGGGCATTCAGCGCCTCGAACACCGTCCTAGGGAGTTATACTCGGGGGCCGTTCTGATGATCGAAGGCAGCAAGACCCTTGAGGCAGCCCTTGTTCTCCGCACTGTCTTCCAGGATCAGAGTTGTCAGTGGGTGCAGGCTGGGGCTGGGGTAATTGCGCAATCGACCCCTGCGCGTGAACTCACTGAGACTCAAGAAAAGCTGGCGAGCATAGCTCCGTTTGTGGTGAGCGAGATGGAGAGATAGAGGACATCGATCGAGATCGTCGAGGGTATCTCGGGTCGGAAAGCAGGTTGTTTTTGTGGTTGTTGTTGTGCATAGTCAGCGTCCCCTTTCAGTAGAGCAGAAATATGATCAAGAGTTCATCTGGTGGCTGGAAGTTGAAGATCATACATAGCATGTGATCTGAGACCGAGTCATGTCGACCACACTCCACCGCCTGACAGCATACAAACTGTACATACATACCAGAGAGCGGGAAATGATGAAATCTGCAGCATGGGAATTCTACGTCATTCTACATGCATAAAGTCCTCTACTGGCAGAATCAACTTCAACATAGTCATGATCAAGCCACTTACTTGAATCATGTATACTCATGGAACAAGGCAATGACATAGTCGAGCCACTCCGACCGAGTCATGTACAGTATACTGTACTGTACATCTAGATGGACTCAGGCATCAATGAGGAATCGGAGTATATAAAAGGATGCTCACGCACGGGGTCCAAGAAATCAAGCACCAGACCAGTCGGACTGCACGAAACCTTCTTTGGCAATCTTCATGTTTCATCTCCATCATCAACATGTCAACGCTTCCCACCCTCGGCCTCACCCTCGCCTACACGGTATCCAGCTACCTAGCCCTCCGATGCCTCCAACCACCTTCACCCGAGCCCGGACCCGACAGCAGCAACAAGTCCAAATCCAAAGACCGCGTCGCCACCGTCATCGACCCCCTCTTCCTCCTCATGAAGCTCGTCATCCCAATGAGCTTGCTCTACCAAGCGCTGCTAACCCTCCTACACGACCACCCATCCTCGCTGTGGACGACCGCCATCTGCCGATCCCCCGCCAACTCACCAACCGAGGCCCTCGCCTGGACGCCGTCCACAACCACAAGCCTGCTCCTGTTCTACATCGGCGGATGGACGCGGCTGGCCGCCTTCCGCGCCCTGGGCGGGGACTTCACGTTCCACCTCGCCGCGCCCAATGACGGCCTGGTGACCGACGGGGTGTACCGGTACGTCCAGCATCCCAGCTACACGGGCGGGCTGCTCATGGTCGCGGGCTATGTGCGACTGGCGTTGGAGGAGTTCGTCCCGGCGATGGGGGCATGCTGGTTGGGATCCGGGGAGACGACCGGACTCGGCGGTGTCGTCGTCGTTGAGCCTTGGGGCCGGGTTGGGCTGCTGCTGCTGACGACTGGCGTCTTTCTGGGGATCACCTATTTCAGGGTCCAGGATGAGGAGAGGATGTTGAAGAGGGACTTTGGGGCCGAGTGGGAGCGGTGGCATCGTCGGACGGCTCGTTTGATTCCGTTTGTCTGGTGAGAGAACACACGGATCGGAGGTTCGGTTGGGTTGGGTCGAATGCGCTACTGTAGATGCATTGATAGTTCAGTCCCTCTTGTTAAGGTTGATATGGGGTTTTGTTAGTAGGTTCGTTGGCTTCTTTTGTGTTTTTGGATTGGTCTTTATTTCTTTTATTTAACATTCTATTGCAGGATCGGGTTAGAGTATCTGGCTCAATGTAGTCCCTTTGCACTATGCAAACCGTGCCAACCTAAGTACCATGAAGTCTTTTATAAAACGGGAAAAAAAAAGAAGAAGGTTGGTTGCATTAAATACAGATAAACTTCCCGAAAAAAGTATCGCTCAATTGTAAATCAAAACCGCGAGAATCTAGGGGAAGAAGAGAAGGAAGGCTCAGCCTACCACTACCAGTCATCGGGCTCGTAGGCAGGCTCCTCATCACGCTCAACGTCACGCTCGATGTATACTTCACGCTCGTGGTAGATCTCACGCTGGGGGGAGCCTTCGCGCTCCTCGTCGCTCGAGCTCGAGTGCTCCTCTGTTCAACAGTAGTTAGTGAGGTAGAACCACAACGCGTGATAACAATGGTAGGAGGTATAACTTACCCAGTTCGTGGTTGATGAGAGCACCAGCGGCAACACCGAGGGCCAGACCGCCAGCAGCACCAAGCATCATTTTCTTGCGCTCGTTCTTCTTCTGCTCCTCGGGGTCGACGTATTCACCGCCCTGCTGAGGGGGATAGTATCCACCCTGCTGGGGAGGGGGGTAGTATCCGCCCTCCGGCGGAGGAGGGGCAGGCGAAGAAGCACCATAGTATCCACCTGGAGGTCCGGCAGGAGCCAGATCGCGGGAGCCGTCGGAGTCGCCTAGCGGAGGCTCCCACTGGGAGCGGCCAGTGGCAACCTCGACAAAGAAAGCACGGCGGGCGCTGGGCTCCCATTCCTGGGTCCAGCCCATGGGAAGAGGAGGGGGAGGAACCGGGGGAGGCCGGAAGGACGAGGGGGGGCTAGCGTATGGAGGGCGAGAGTCGTAAGAGCGGTCGGCACCTTCGTAGGGAGGACGCTCTGGAGGGGGACCACCCTGGTAGGGAGGTCTCTCGTAGGGGGAGCCCTGGTAGGGAGGTCTGTCGGAAGGTGGGCGGTCATAAGGAGGTCTGTCATATGGGGGGCGCTCGTAGGGAGGTCTGTCGGCGGGCGGGGCGTCGTAGGGGGGGCGCTCATAAGGAGGGCGCTCCTGGTAGTAAGGCTGTCCTCCGTAGTAAGACATTGTGGTTGATTCTGCACTCGTGGTGACGATTAGAGCAACAGAGAGAGGAGTGGATGGGAGAGAGAAGGTTCAGAAGGAAAGAGAGAATGAAACAGAAGTCAAGAGGACAGAGAAGCACCACAAGACCCTTAAATAGTCTGTTGTGATGGTCCCTGTCAGCTGGAGAGGGGAAGGGTGGGTAGATGGAGTCAGGTCACAGATGCAGCACCCACTCCACCATTGCTATCAGGGATATTAACGGCTCTCAGGGACTCATGGCAGCCAACGAATGACCTAGGCAAGCGCTAAAAGTAGAGTGTATCCACCGCGTTATTTGTTGGGATGGAGAAAATGCCAATCCATAGTCTGGTTTCATTGTTGATTGTAGATCTGAAGTTCTGACAATGCAGAAGATTTAGGCAGATACGTAACACAAGCGCCCCTGATGGGGTGTGGGACCCGATAGGCAAGCAGTTGGCTTCATAATGCTGGAATGCAATGGAATTCTGCCCTTGATGCCATAAGGCCAGCTCGACAGTTTCTTTCTTCGGGGGGGAAGGACGATGAGGAGAAATTGCGGGGCAAGTTTTCGTTTATCCCTGTAGGGAGAAGAGATGGAGGGGCAAAAGCAGCCTTAACCTTGTCAGGCACATAGTCAGATAGGTACAAAAGTCGATCATGGATGATGGATGATGTCTTCCTGAGTTTCTTGGAAAGTCAACTGAGCAATAGACATGACGACAAAGTATTGGATAGCAGTCTTATGAGCTACCAGTCGGGGCAGAGCTGTCAATATCCGGACTAATGAACAGGGAGCGACTGGAGAAATGAATGACTTGTCCAAGCGATGCCGCAACAATCCGTCTCCTTTTTCGGTTCTTGGCGCCACATTGGGGGCTGGTGGAAGATACCAGTACCATCCAATCAGAAGTGGAACGCTACTGCATCAGCCACAAATGACCCCCCACTATTGAATCACTGGCGAGTTCACACGCAACAACTTGAACTGAATCCGCCCGCGGTGTCCGGCGACAGCACGGCAACATGAACACTGCACTGGCAGACAGAACCCTTCCTCGGCTTGGCGGGTCCTCGGCCTTCCAGAAATTACTAAATTAAGCTGTGGGCCATGGTTCAGTTGCCGCCCTCCAAGACATCCATGCTACGAGTAATTCGGGATCCTGTCAACTGGAATAGAAGTGTTGCAGTCACACGGTTTTCACCGAGTACCCTTGCAGAATCGAAATCCACATAGGTTAGCAATTGCACAGGGGAGGGCCTCTGGTCCTGTAATACCGGATAAATTCAAAGAGAGGTATAGAACTATCATCCTATCTGCAACAGTAGTCTCTGAGCGAGCAATCCGGACACCGTGCCAAGACTCTACTCGGAGCCCCTGAGCGATTCGCCACGTGTGCCTCAATTAGTGGCTGTGTCTCCGCGACCAAAGGCACCGCTCAGCCACACCCTTCCTTCCTCTTTCAATCTTTCCTTCGTTCGCCGAGGGGCTACGGAACCGTTCGGAGCATTGATCTTTCTACCTAGTACGGGGTAGGGTCCTTCTGCTCTTCTGCTGCACGCAAAATAGTGCACCTCCAGATAACCAATGCACCTGTAACACAAAATAATCAGATGTGCCTAACTCGGTCGAAAGATTACGAGTAACTCGATTGATCCAGAATACCAGTCATATAGCGGAGCAACTGTGCCAAGTAGGACACCCAGGCAACAATATTTACAGTCTCGACCCAATATACCACAAAACGCCTCAAAGTCTGGTCAATTCGTTCCTCTGCTTCAAATTCAAATTCCACCTCAATCCAATTTGAAACTCGTCATAAATTGCATTTGCCGGAGAATGAGGACCACATTCTGCATCTGACAGTGTCCAGACGTGTCAGGCTCGTCATACTGACCGGCTTCCGCCGTCGTATTAATATTAAGAACAATCATGAGCTGCCGGCGAAGTTGCTGGATTCAGCACTTCCGGGGTAGAAGAAGGCAGCGACACTACAAGTCTCGTTAGAAAAAAGTTCAACAAAACATGGCTGAAAAAACAATACAACATACCCAATAATAACATAGGCTGCGATGAGCAGAGATCCCTCCAGGTAGTTACTTCTGCCGTCCAGGACAAGGAAGTTCACGACGAAGGCCGTTACGAAGAGCGATATAGTTTCGAATAGAGTAAAGTACAAAGACATGTCTTTGTCCATGCACCACCCGAGGATGACTACCAAGGGAGTGACGAAGATAGCTGCTGAGGGTCAGCTCAGGTTCTAGAAAGTCCAAGGGTCTAACAAAACATACCAATCTGGATACTGCTACCAACAGACACACCAATAGCAAGATCCATCTTGTTCTTAGTAGCCACACTCACGGCCGTCACGTGTTCGGCGGCGTTACCAACAATAGGCAGGATGATCAGACCGATAAAAGCCTCGCTGACAGACGAGCTTTGAATCATGTTGGGAATGGCATCAACCAAGAATTCTGCACAGACCGCAACGAGAGCGGTTGAGACGAGGAGCATGACCACCGCGGAGGTGCGAGACATTTCTGGCTCGGGGTGTTCAGGAGTGTCTTCGACAGTGGCCGCGCTGACCACGGTGGGCATGCGAGATGCTCCACGGGCAAATTGTACAGCGCTTCCCACGGGTGGAGGACGATTGGAAAAAGAAGGCAGCGAGTGTGTACGGCGGAGACCAGATGCAGCGGAAAGATTCGTTGGTTGTGCAATAGCCGGCGCGGTAGAGAACACTGTATTGGAGAGCAGTGAGGGAATGGTAGGCCGAAATGGCGATCGCCTCTTAGGCACTTCAGGGACCTCCTCGACAGGATTTTGTAGATCGCCATGATCAACAGCAGGTTCGGATTGATAAGACTTCAAGGGTGGCCGTCCGTTCATAGCTGTATTGGTAGCGCCTTGAGCGCTTTCCGTACGCTTCTCACGCTTTTTCTTCTCCTGCTTCTTGGCCTTTCTCTCTTGCTTCGAGCTCCTAGGGGCAGCTCCGAAGTCCCGCGACTGCGGTTCGTAGTCCCTCGAGTGTGGCTCGTGGTCCGCATCGTAGCGAGTATCGTCGCCAAAATCAATGACAAACGACCCTGAACCCTCTGCATGACTAGTGGTACTGTTCAAGTCACCAGAACCGTGGGCCTCATCAATGACAGCCGACGATGGCATATCCACCAGGGACTTCTTACGGAACGATTGCGGAGATACTGTTCCACGTGAGCTCGTGCTTGATTTTCGGTGGCGTCTGTGTTTCATGGCTCTCTTGATGCGTTTGGCGGTGGACCAGGAGGTTGTAGTGTCGACCGATTCGTCGGACGAACTGCTTGAATCCGACGAGCTGTTCATAAACTCGGCCAACACACCCGGGTGGGATTCTTCGTCAATAATCTGCTGAGGAGTACTGGCGTAGAGATAGGCATGCGACTTGAGTTGGAAAACGATGTACAAGGCGTACACAAGAAGCAAAACCTGTTATTTGTGGCACTTAGTATCTGATGCGCTTCTCATCGTACTTCTGAGGGAGCTTACCACACTAGTTCCTCGGCTAACTTTGAGAGTGTATTTGTCGGCGTTCGAGCTGTCTGACCACGAGGCATGGAAGGCCGTCTGATGACTATGTTAGTTCTGGACCCTCAAACGAATCAAGTCATCACTCACAGGTAATAACAAACTCATGACGCTCAAGCTAAGAAGACAAGCGCTCATTTGAGTGACCGTACTGTTGTAGATCTAGAGAACTTAGTACACAACTCAGAAACACAGACGAGAATTGCTTACCTGTTCCTGAAAACGCAAGCCTCCCAAAAGAAAGGCCATACCCAGAATCAACAGTAGATTTGCCAGAATGGATCCCAAGAGGGATGCTTGCACAATTCGAATCTCATTCTTGACAAGTGCAATGATGAAAATGATCAACTCGACTGCATTTCCAAAAGTGACATTGATCAGTGCACCGACGGTGTCACCTAGGCGGCTGGCAACACACTCAGTGGCGTGACTGAGGAGACCAGCCAAGGGAATGACAGCGATCGCGTTCATGGCGAAGATCAAGCCCGAGTTCAACCCGGCCGCCTGGACGGCGATACCAGCGGGCACGAAGATGAGCAGCACATTGACCCAACTGTGGCAAAGAGCCGTCTTGGTGTGGCTGCTGAAGCGGACCATGCCATCCTTCATGCGCGTGAAGAGTCCGGGCTTAGTGGTCTCATTTGAATTCTTTTCTGACTCCGGGCTGGCCGGGTCACGTATAGCTTCCTTCACTTGCCCATCTTGAGCCGCTGCCTCATCGGAGGCTTGGTCTGCCTGAGAGGAAGCTTGAGTTTGGCGAGTTGACGCGTGAGCTTTCGCCCACGAGTGAATCCGGTCTGTGAAATCGAGAAGTTTATCAGTTGGTTTCTCAGAAAGAATAGCAAGATTCATGCACCAAGAAAGCCACCAAAGTTTGGCGCGCGTGCAATGTTTGGAAGCGAGTTGAAGGAAGGGGTATCGGTAGGTGACCGAAGCACTTACGCATGTATTTCAGAACCAGAAGCAGGAATAATCAAGGGGGAAAGGCAGAGGAGCCTGAGGCGTATCACAGAAATGAGATGGGATAGGAAGAAACAGAAGAAGAGAAAGAAAACTGTGTCTGAACACACAGGAAGAAGCAAGCCAAGCTTCAAGTGGATTTATGGGAAGTTGGAGAAGGCAAGACAGACAGCGAAATGAGGACAATATAAGGACGAGCGGCCGGCCGGGGCCCTTGGCGTGGGCGGCAAGCCAATGATGCCGGCCAAGCCCCAGCATGATCATCCTGCACCTAACCATGAAAGGGGAGGAAGCCCATGGTCCATGGCCCCGTCTTGCCTGCCCCGTTTTGCGTCCAACTCCCCCCTCTTGTTACTGTACTGTAGGTTGTTATCTATGGAGTATCGTGTTATCAATCATCCACCCTCATTTTTTTCTTCTTCTTTTTCTTTTACTTTTTCTTTCTCTTTCACCTTCCGCCCCCCCCCCCCTCCCTTCCCCCTCCTGCACTGCATCCTATCAGCTCACCCTTCCAAGGCCTGCCAAGGGCAGCTACACCGTGCTGAGGTCATCGGCTTATCTCCGACATGAGGACTCGGATCCCGCTCTTCTGTCGGTATTTTCATTTATTTTTATCTTTAGAGGCTCGGCAGTCGGTTGAGTCGCAAAACACAGCAACAATTGACGACGGATGATGATTGATTACCTTACTGTATCTATCCACTCCACTGGTGGGGCATGAGGGCTGTTAATCTGGGTTCCCGTCGATCGAATTCGTACGGTTCCCTTCTGCAGCCCGTCGACCTGGTATCCATTCTAGGGCTTGGTGGTAAACCAGGCTAAATGTTTCTAGTGCAATCGACGAAATAACTTCCTCTTTTCTTCGGTAGGTGAAGATGCCAATTAGTTCATACTTCACCTTGCTCAATCGGTCTGCAACCTGCAAGGGGATGGACGAGCTCCCCAGGACCATGTCAGAATGCTGGGACCCAGAACATGGAGACCTCCCAATTTTGTGATCGAATTGCGACTACGGAAAACCTGCCCCCGAGGCCACGCCTCACTCACTCCTGGAAGAATAAATCACCTAGGGCTATCGACCTATCTTCCCGGCACATTGCCGTCTATGGAGTATAGAGCACTGTTTTATTATAACCAATTTCTCGACGCAGCAATAAGAGTGAGACACATCCATGACTATCACCGAGGAAAACGGCCATGTTTTACCTACCCTACGTACAGGTAATTACAATACCTATCAGATCGATAAAGACCGCCTTGCCTTTGGACGACCCAACTAATCCATCCAATTTGTGGACAGCGATCTGGGAATCCGGAGCTTTCCATTGGTCGACTGTCTGCAAGATGTTAGCCTCGTCCCAGTCGGAGGGATTCCTCCGAAGTCCGACGTACCTGTATTGTCACCCGTATCATACCCAATCATTCATTCATCGTCATCCGGGACGGGCACTGCATGCTTGGGTCGTTGCCACGGCTGGCAACAGCTTTGGGTAACGCGTCACATGGCCGAGGTCAGAAGAAGGCAAGATGTGTGCAAACAGAGAGCGCGTCATCCATCGCCATTAGGTTACGTTTACAGTTTGGTAGTCAATTTGACATTCCTTTCTTTAGCTTGGACTTCTTTCAATCCAGCTACGCCTCGGTTGAATTCTCTATGACTCAGTAACGTCTCATCGTCAACGCTATTCCCGCCTGGTAGGGCTCCGAGTCTCCGACCCCTGCGTCACAGACTCAGCCACATATCCGGGGCCCACTATCTCCTCCACCAGCACCAACGCTACGTTGTGGCTGAGGAGAATAACTTCTCGGGGACCATGGTAAGTGCTGAGATGACATGATGGCCCACGAACGTGCCAAGGCGTGGCAGAGACAGCCAGGTGCTAGAGCATTCCATGTTGCAAAGTCAACTAGTCGCGCGATTTGTCGGCTCCTCGTGCTTGGGAGACTGGACCACACGACACTGGCGCCAGCTGTCCATAAATGAGGTCATTTGTAGTACTCATGTACAGTCCTGTACAGTACTTTCGACCTATTCCAGTCTACCACATTTGATGCAGCCTCGTTTGACAGGTCTTGGCCAGTGAGCGGGGTAGTATTCGTAAACATGCCAATGCGGGGGTGATGTCCAAAGCCTCCGTGGCGCCGCGTAAGGCAGTCCGAAATGCGATGATGGAGGGGATGGCTGCTCATTATCAACACCAGCACTGGTCAGTCACACCCAGTTCTGCAACCAGAACTTGAAAATACCTCAGATTGACTGGCCAGGAGGGCGCTCCTCTGTGTCGATGCACTATGAGGGAATTATCATGGTTGCTCAACAGGTTTGGATGCTGTCATTTGCCGGAAGGGGGAAATGCGTATGAGAGAAGAGCCATCACCTGAGTTGTGTCGCAGGCAGACACTCATTCCTGACTCATCTTGACAGCGGGATGCATAAAGTAGGCATCTAGTCAGGTGATCATAGCTCAGAGCAGCGGGTAAAGACTTATCCCGCCTGGATACAATCAACAATGCTTGTCGTTCTCCCTGCCGACTCTGATAGCCATGGAATTGCTGGGTCTAGTTCTGAAGGCCTGCAAAAACCTTAAATTTTTCTCCGTGGGGCATTATTGATAGCCTGGGAAGATGTGAAAGGATCGGATCAAAGTCAACTTCAATTGATAATCATACTAACTACTGTCTTCCACCAAATACACCACCCACCCTTCGTCAACGCTCAATCTGCATCAGCAGTGATCAGCTCAAGTCGATAATCGAACAGCCCGGTGTGACTGAGACTATTACCAGGCTGTACTACGTATATCACTCGATCCCAAGACAGTATCTCAATGATCGTCCACCTTCGAAAAGTTAGTCACGGAAAGGAAACTTTCGAGTCGGCATTTAGCTCGGCAGGCGCCATGGATTTCAGGCACGGCACTCCGATCCGGATGCGGCCCCGGACGTCGGCGATTCGATCAACAACGCTAGTTCAGATCACGAGAGGATGAATTTTCCATCCTGTCCTCTCTCGAGCATCTTTCGAGTCTCCTCATATATCATACTGATCTTTCCGATCAATCGGTCCACCTGATTCAGCAATACATTGCACGAGAGACAGTTGACACACCATGGCTCCTCCTCGGAGCTCTGGTGGATCCAGACTGTCCAAGGTGCTCAGGTATGAGATTCCGCACTCGATGACTTAATCTATAGTAAGCAGGAGCTGAGAAATGCCTCACAGCGCACTCAACCCGAGGACTTGGAGGCGACGCCTGGGCCTGGATACTCGAACCTTTCTCATGATGTTGAAAGGTGCTTTGCCACCGACCATTGTCATCGCAATGTGAGCGAGCCTAGTATCGACACATATCAAAGCAGTCGACTTACATCCATTGTAGTTATCAGAGCAGTTCTATTGCGGACATCACACTGACTATTGGCTACCTATCCGCGTTGATCTCCGTCCTGTCGCAGGCTCTCATGCCCCGCGCGAAATTCATGAAGATCATGTTCTTTGATCTCCTGTCCACATGCGTATCCGCATCGCTCTGTTGTCTAGCGATATTCTGTGCTGTGAAGGCAAGAGAACACAACACCCCGAAGGACGCAAGCGAGAGTGTCCGCACTGGCTTCAGCAGCGATGCCTGCGCCGTATCTGCCATATGGCTAATATTTATGATCTGGTAATTGCGCCGCCTCTACTGTGCTGCTGCAGGCAATGCTGACAGTTCTTATTAGGGGTGCGAATACGATCCGTGCCTGGAAACCGATGGAGCTGCAGGATCCTATGGTGGCGTTCTCGATCTTCTGCTCTGTAACCATCACCCGAGCTGGGACATTTGTGACACTATCTGATGGTTTGAGCTTTGTCAGCCGATTGTTGAAGGGGTTTATGCTGGGTTTTGCGATTGCCATCGGTGTCTCTCTCTTCATATTACCGATCACGAGCCGAGGGCACGTGTTCGAGGACATCAAAGGCTACGTCGCGCAGATTGACGCCGTGCTCCGAGCTCAGATCGACTTCGTAGGGGAGAGCCCAGATGTGTGGACTGGCGACCAGAGTCTTCTCAGTCGGACCCGGACTGCTCGGAGTGTGGGTGAAGCAGGGAACAATGGGGGCTCGAATTTGGGGGCAAAGAAGAGAGCTCTCGGCGCGGCAATAACAAAGTTGAATGCCTTGCATGGGAAGTTGCAGTCGGATATGTTCTACTCGAAGGATGAGATCGCCTGGGGAAAGCTATCGGCTGATGATCTGAGTGGTATTGGTGGTCTGCTACGAAGCCTTCTGCTGCCCCTGTCAGGGATGGCAATGCTTCCTGAAATCCTCGATATGATTGTGAAAAATGAAGGGACCCGCAACAACAGCTTTGGGTCGTGTGAGAATGACGAGGAGGCACCAACGAAGCAGGCCGAGTTGCAGAAAGTTGCCGAGACACTTCATAGAAGATTGGTGGAGTCTGCTCGCCTAGTAAACATCGGCTTGCAATATGTTCTGTTGAGCTTGGAACTAAAGAAGAGGAAGCACATCGAGAAATTGTACCAAGAGAAAGATGAAGAGGCAACAGGCGGCATGCTTAGTCCGTTGCAGCAGGGCTTCACGGCACGATTCCAGCAAGAAATAAGCCAGTACTATTCCCGACGCAAAGACCTCACGAGAACCCTGGCATCTCTCGAGGCATTCTCATTGTCCGAAAAGGCCGACGATGCCTCTTCAAGCAACGATCAGAGAGCCGTCACAGCTGATCCCGACGTGAAACAGGAATTTTTCATGATTCTGTACATGGGCCATTTGCAAGACAACATTTTGAAGGCGACACTCGACCTGGTCAAATTCGCGGATAAGAAGATTGATGATGGCACGATGAAGCGCAGCCGACTCATTTTTCCCAAACAGAAGACTATCTTGCAGTGGTTGTCTCCTGATTCTGAACAACAGGAATTTGGGGAAGGCTCTGGCCGACGACAGTCTTCCCACGTCAATCCCTCCGCTATCTATGAAGAGCGCGAAGCAGAGACATTTCCAGACCCCGAGCACCTGCCGCCTGCCAATGTCTTTGAGAAGGGAAGCGCAGTGCTTCGCATTATATCGAAAGTTATCAAGTCTGAGCAGAGCATTTTCGGATTTCGGGTGGCAGCAGCGGCATTTTGCGTCGGTATCCTAGCCTTCCTGCGACAGACCCAAGATTTCTTCATTCACCAAAGATGCATCTGGGCCATGATTGTCATTGTGATCGGTATGAACCCAACCAGCGGGCAGACGATGTTCGGCTTTGTGGCCCGAATTGCTGCGACTGTCGTGTCGATGGTGTTGAGCTTGATCGTGTGGTACATAGTGGATGGAAAGACGGCAGGAGTCATAGTGTTCCTTTACATTGGAAACATATTTGAAGTAAGTCTGTTGGGGAAGAACTCTCAATCACTCATCGCTGACTCTCCTGGCAGTACTACTTCTACATCAAGGTTCCTCAGTACTTCGGCGCAACTGTAATTGCCATAGTGACATTCAATGTTATAGTGGGATACGAGTTACAAGTCCGTCCGCCCTCTGCATTCCTTCCAACCAATCCTCGGGTCTAACTGGATTTCAAAACTCTCTAGGTCCGCAAACTCGGAGTCGAAGTCGCCACCTCCAACGGCCAGCCCTATTACCCCATCTACATTTTCGGCCCCTACAAACTCGCAGCAGTCGCCGCCGGCTGCGCCATCTCCTTCTTCTGGGTGATCTTCCCGTACCCGATCACCGCCAAATCGACCCTCCGCAAAGCGCTCGGACGGGGCCTCTTTGTCCTCGCCAAGTTCTACAGCTGCATGCACACGACGATCGAGGTCTGGCTCAACGGCTCGCTCGGCAGCGTCGACGACGACGTGCGCTCCGCCGCCCACCACCTCGACCACACCCGCCACAAGATCTTCAAGGAGGAGATGATCCTCCTCAACAGCCTCCGGATGCACAGCCACTTCAGCACCTTCGAGCCCCCGATCGGCGGCAGATTCCCCAAGCCGACCTACGACCGCATCATCGGCCAGATCCAGCGCACGCTCACCAGCATGGCGCTGATGGCCCACACCACGCAGACCCTGGACGCGTTATCCATCGACAGCCAGCCCGGCGCCGGCAGCAACTCCGAAGAAAACAAATGGGTCGCGAGACTGGCCTCGATCGCGCTGCAGTCCGCGGGCTTCAGGTCGCACCAGATCACCTCGCTGCTCTGCCATCTGTCGGCGTCCATGACGAACGCGCAGCCGCTGCCGCCGTACCTCGCGACGGGCGACTCCTTCCCGCTAGCGCGGGAGCTGCAGCGCATCGACGGCGAGCTGCTGAGCATCCGCCACGTCGAGGATCCGGCGTTTTCGGCGTTTGTCTGTCTGGAGGTGCTGCGGTCGGTGGTCAGCTTCACTTTGGATGATCTGTTACGGTATGTTTATCTGTGCGACTTTCTTGAGTTTCTCTCGTTTCTCTCTCCCTTCCTCTGAGAAACAAACAGTCGCTAACAGGATATGTTCAGTGATGTGAGAAGTCTCGTCGGCGAACTGAGCTTCGAGTTCCATGTGCGCCACGCGCAGGAGAATGCGGAATCGCAACGCTTGATGTCGGAGGCCGATGCTTGAACTGACTGACTGGTGCATGTGTTTCAGAATAACTGTATAATGCATAAACATATTCATCAATGTAGTTGATTATATATCTGCTTCTACGCCGAGAAGCGGCACGCACTTGACGCCAGGGGCAACTAGATCCACTTGTCGGGTCACTCCTGGTTAAGGACTATTCCTGAGCAACATGACTAATAAGACTCCTGTTACATCACTATTACAACAGCAAGGCCTGCTGGCCCAATG